GAAAATAAATTTTGCACCACCCTAATGTACATAATTGCATAATGTTGTTACACTAACACCTTAAACACATAAACTTATCTATGTACAATACAATTTTATTATTAATTTAATAATACTTTCCGTATTCCCACATCGCTTGAAAGATCCCGATTCGTTTATGGCCATACGCCGTTATTCGTCACTCTGCAATGAGCTGCTCACCACGAAGGATAATGTCTTCTTTGGCAAACACAAGAATATAACGCAACATTAGTGGAGCTTAACTACTATGAAATACTTACATACATATACGTCATATCTATTTTTGTAGAGAAAAAAGTAATGAAATCCAGCAGTTGATTTTTGAAGAAAATTTAAGAAAAAAACCAAAGATTTGTAAATGAGATTGTGCTGTTAAATTCGTTTATTTGAAATTATTCATTGTAGTGTTAGTGATGTAATAAATGCATATTTTCTTAAAAAAGAAGTTGTCTAATATTTTTTTTTTTAGTTTATTCTACAATTGTACATTGCATTTAATTTAGCTACATCACTTACGGAGAAGCCGATGCGTTGGCCCATCAGTTGTGCCTCCTTAGTTTGTTTCTGAAAATAGAAAGAAAATGTATGCTAGTTGGTTCTGAAATATTCCAGATACTCAATACGTGTCCTATATATAGTTAGTTAGTTTGTGCTGGGATGTGAAAGAACAAGAAGCACTGCAACCTTAAACATCTTTTTTTTCTCCTTCCCAGTATTTACTGCGTTCCGAGTTTACCCACTAAGCAATTATGGATTTCGAGGAGGACTAACTGAGACTACAGTAAGATTCGTGTCCCAAAAAGGCAGTTTCTCCTATCAACTCGTCAGCGATCTCCTTGCCTTCGATCCCAAAATGGCCTGGTACCCAGCACAATGTTGCCGTATTTTTCGCTGCCAAATTTTGTAGCGTGTCAGAGCAGTTTGGATTTCATCATCTCGTTTGAAAGGGCGCGGATGGCTGCTTGGCTCTCTGGAAAGAAAGCTGGAAAGGCGTCCTACAAACCCTTTTCAAGATTTAATTTTGCGTAGTTTGAGATTGCTAACACTTCAATCTGGCTCACCGTTTGCAATCTATCCCATGTCCTCCATCCTTGGCCCGTCTGTGTACCAGTGTACGTAACTGGGATTAAGGGCAGGCAGCCCATTTGTCCAACCTTCGCTACCGAAGATTTTTACTTGAACTTTTCTGTCCAGAGAGGAGTTCATCCTACAGTGGACTCTAGACCCGCAGTTGAGCAAGTTCTTATTGATTCAATGACGGATGCATAGGACACAATCGGACGGATTATATGGCAGAGCCATTCTATCAGCCTTGAGTTCGAACTCCATGCAGACTCACAAGGCCCGTGTGGCTTTAGCAACAGCTTCCTGACGAATAGAGTCTTTTATCTAGCGTATCTCAAGATATTTGAGCTCATCCGAGTATTCAAGCACTGTCCCTCCAAAAGTGACCTAACCAAGTTTTGGTTTATACCTTGCTGTAAACGGTACAAGAACATCCTTCTGGGGATTTATGTTGAGGCCATCATTACCACATAAGTTTGAGACCACGCAAAGTGCTGCACTTGTTACGTCCGAGACAGTACCTGTCTACAGCTCCTGTAACTATAAATGCTAGGTCATTCGGGCAACCCACGGCATCGTTAAAATACTTATGTAGTCTGATTGAGAGGCCACCGGCCACAAGTGGCCGAAACAAGGGAGAAAGCACCCATCCCAGCGGAAAACCGCTCATGATCACGGACGAAGCATAGCGTCTAAGAGTAGTTTGGTACAAGCCTCTTTGGGGAAATGTCCTCGTGGTAGAACCATAAGCAGGTATTATCGAAAGCCTCATCGATGTTCAAGAAAGTACACAGAACAATCTCCTAACTAGATACTATAAGGCCGAATCGATTGTTTTATCATTGAGTGGAAGCACTCAGTTTCTTCCTACTATCGAACACTAACAAGCTGTCTAAAATTTTCACAGTGTAGGAAGTTAGGCTAATAGCTCTGTATGATTCGACAGGGACACCTTCCTCCAAGCGTAGGGTATGTATTTCCAGAAATTATTAGCTCTAAATGCTCAGGTCAGGGGATCAGTGATGTCCTCAATACTTCTTTGCAATAGTGCTGGAGAAATCCCGTAAACACCTGCTGATTTGAAACGTTCAAAAGACTACCGCCCACTGTACCTTGTCCGGGAAATGGAGCCAGATCTGCTATGATTTTTAGCTCTAGGGAACCTGTGTTCCGAGGAGCCGGAGTCATCAGATCAAGCTCCAGCGAATGTCCTGGGAAATGCATATCAAATATATTGACATCATTTGTTCAGAAATTATTCTTTATAATTTTTCATAGTCAATGCCATCCCATATCTCTGGTGTTTGTAATGTATTTATGTACATGTAGGCTTCCTTTGAATACTTTTAGAGTCAATTTCGATATCATGATCTCGTCACCCATGGCTCCGTCCTGATTTGATCTATTACTACTATTGAAACATTAATAAAGTTCAGTCGCTTTAATATTTGCAGACTTGGCAATCGAATGAGTTTTTCTTGGCTTGATATTTGAATACTCCGTACGAGAACTTCTCTAGATTTTCCTGGCTCAAGTGCGCCATTTTTGTGTCATATGTTAAGCTATGGAGTTAAGACAAAAATAAGCAGGTTTGGGTTAGAATAGTTTGTCTGACAAGGCTGAGATCGGTAAGTTTGTCCGATAGCGCTTAGCCAGTAAACAGCTGGATGGTTCATTGAGTTAAAAGTCTTTCTAACGGCCTTCAAAGTAGGATAGATTTACGACTATCGACCACTTGAGATAAAGTGGGCAAGGGCCATCACACATTATTACAGGTGACTTTAATAGCTGGCACCAAAACGGGGGCTCACATACAAATAACCGAAAGGGAACATGCTAGCAAGCTTCATCAACCAATCCACTCACCTTTCTACACACAACATCTTCACTCACCTCGATTTGACTTTCTGTTCTCCCGATCTCGCCGCGCATGCGGAATGGAAGACTTCAGATGACTTAAACGGAAGCGACCACTATCCGATTGGCATTTCCTTATTTCCGAGCGGAAATCACTCGCAAATAATCATTAAACCCAAATTCCAAGTCAATCGTGCAAATTGGTCACTACTCGAAAGTAGATGTACTCACTATGAGTCAATCAGACCTGTCAGTCTAAACATAAGCAACTCCAGAAAATTTTACTACAATCGGCGAAAGAATCAATCCCTCAAACACAATTGCACAGGAAATTAAAAACAGTTCCTTGGTGCAATAGCCATCTTACTGGCATACCTAAACATAAGCATTTTCTAACGGCTAGCGTTAACGCCGAAGTGCCATGGCAGTTAACGTTGGAGAACATCGCTTAAAAGAAGGTNGTCATGCGGCACAAGTAGATCGCCTTCTAGATATGGTCCAAATTCTTCAGGATTCTCCGTTGAGTTTGCATTGAGCTTTGAGAGTTTTTCACCGGCCTCCACATCAGGATAGCCGAAAAGGCGTTCGCCAAACCGAGACAAATCGATCAAGTCTCTCTTGTGAGCAATCACTTTTACTGTAGAGTTTTGGTATGGAGCGCCGGATATGAGCTTCGCAAAAAAATTTAAAAGCACGATTGCGTAAAAAATTAACATTGTTGTAGCATGTAAGCGTGCTGAAAATTTGACTGGAGGTTAAAGCGTGGGCTGTGGCTTTTATATATTTGCGGAAATTGTGTAGGGTCGATAAGGCTAACGCAATGTTTAGCAGCTTAACCATTATATACATACCATAAATTTGCAGGAACATTAAACAACTTGATTAACATGTTAATTATGCTGAAAACTCTACTTTATTACCTTGAAGTACGGAGTCGGAAGAATTTATGCATTAACATAGTTTTGCATTATTGTAAGTTTGTTGTATACAATGGACCTTCAAAAGGTCTAAGTGAGTTGGTAAATTGAACCGACTGCCACATCAACCTAAGTTTGTTGTATTTTTAATATTCACAGGTAACCGTTGTAAACGTTGTATTAAAGACAATCATAGGTACATAAATAGTTGTACCAAATGCAAAATATTTTAGACCTGCAAACCGTAGCCGCCTTAAAATTGGTTTATCAAAAATGTTTTCCCGAAATTGAACTCGCCTACCAAAACGGTTTTCTTTATTCACTGCTATGACTCAAAACCGCTACGGTACTACTCTAAAATTCTTCAATATTTATATGTATATGAAGAATGTGGACCAACAGTCGTCAAAGACGAGGAAAACTTATTTTTAAATGCCTCAATTGAGCACTCTTGTGTATAAAAGTAATTATAATCCTGAGTGTTTTGCAAACATCAGGCAATTTTACGTGGCTTACTGCAAGACTACAAAACGGGGCAACTTTCGGAATCACTTCTGGGTCAGAAGGCTGCCGAAGCGGTATCATTCGAACAAGCTGACTTAGTTCGAATTGTGAAATTGAGCGAACAAAATTCGGATAGCTGCAATCTCTCGGTTCGCTTAGTTGGCTACTATTGCACTTAACCAAAGTTCTGTTAATTAAAAACCTCTGTTAACCGGTTTCGACTGTATCTAATTGAATATATTATGCTGGCTTCAAGTGATAAATCAGTCTATACATTTATGGAATCAATCCAGTTTCTCTAAAATAAATACGAGTATTTTGTTATGAAACTAAAATTTCGCCACCACTTTACATCCGCCTACCACCGGTAAACCAGCAATGTCGCAATCACACCGACTACCTTTGGCGCGCAATCGATCAAGCAACGTTAGCGAAGACAACAACCCTCTTCTAACTGTTTACATAAGTATGTATGTATCTGGCATTACCTGACAATTAACCACTTTACTAGTTGTATGTATACCTGTCCATGCTGCTACTTACCTGTGCCTTACTCACTCGTTTTCTCGTTTCTTCCAGCCCGATTCGCGCACAATCGATTTTACCTATTCTCCTCATACATACATACATAGCTACTCACTTGCCGGCTTACCGTTTCTAAGCAACGTTGCTCGCAGTTAGTCCCACACTAACTTGTCTAGTAGCTTACTAACAACCAACATTTGTTAACAATAACACTTTAGCGTCATCTCATTTCCGTCTGGCAGAATGTGAACGCCATATCGGTGGTGTTTGTTGGGAACCTACAGACGTGTAGTGGGCTTAGCGCAACGCGGCTTAAGGCAGCACCTCAACAACCTGTAACTTCAGTTACGTTTTGATTCTCAGACCAGCCGGACGTTGTGGAAAAAGTGCTCGAGGAAACAACGGTTGTGTGAATTCGTTGCTGTCGGTTAGTGCGCGTTCGTGTGTGTGTGTGCCGTTGTGGTGTGTGTTGGGAGAGTGCCATTGTGTAGTGAGTGTTGCTATTGTTATTGTTGTTTTTCGTGCAATGACAGTGAGCAAACGTACGGCACGAAATGGCTGCATAGTGGTTTTGAGCCAGTGCGAATGAGATGGCTGCAAACGGAAAGGTGTAAATTTAATAAATGAAAAAGAAATTACCTATCTACCTACTACGAAAATTTTCAACTCAACAACGACGAGCGAGATTAACGAATAAGAAAAATTAATTTCATTGGAATTTGTGTGGTTTTATTAATAAAATTATAATTATGAGAGAAAAATAATTCCATATTCTAAAAGTGTTGAGAAGTGTGCTACTGTTTTCGATGAACTAAGTCCATAATTTAACGAACTCGCTGCCCATTTTTGCTGTCGTGCGAGGCAAAATAGGTTTTAAAACCAAGTTAAGAAGCAACAGCAATAACTACACGACGAAAGTCTGAAACAAAGAGAACAACAATAAAACAAACCTGTTTGCAGTGCCTCAATGCAAATATGTATCGAATTTAGTAGTTAAAAATAGAGAAGCAAATAAAATAAATATTGAATTTCCAACAAGTCCATGCGTCGCGCATAAATAACTTTTATTAATGTATTTTGCAAACATATTTTCTCGCTAAAGTACATACATATGTACGTATTTAACGAGGGTCTTTAAAAGATTTTTTGCTATTGCTTTCATAAGACTGTTATCGGCGCAATGCCTTCTTTGTATGCTCATTTGCTCAGCTCAGTTCAGTCAACGCGTTGGAATTGATTTGCATTAAACAAATTAGGAATAACAGCAGTGTACGCGTAGCAGCTCAACAACGAGCACTGCACTGCTAGTAGTAAACGACAAAAACAAAAAATCGTTTAACAAATTACCAGAACAGCAAAAAGTATATAGTTCATTTTAAGCAAAGAAGCGCAATCAAAGCACTCGGAATGCGAATTTCAAGTGGCAGCAGTAGCCGCTGCGGCAGTTGGACATCACTGCAAGGGGCGTCAGCAGCAAAGACACTATCTGCAACAACAATGATTATGACAACACGAAAGGGGCAATCTGAAAGTGCCCAGCAGCAACGTAGAGAGAGTGTTACAGACCAGCGTAGCAGGAGAACGACGCGGCTGTATTTTGCAGCAGCGCAAACGCAACGAGTAGCTCCGCTCTTCCGCCTTACAGCATCCTTCACACCCCGCTGCCTGTTGCTGGCACTGCTACTCGGTGTCACGTATGGTAAGTTGAATTGGGTGCTCTTCATTTATGATCGAGTGCGTAGTTAGGATTGGGTAACTACGACTTTTTTGGTGTCAAACGATGCTCTGTGGAATGAAACTTCAGAAAAAATACACAAATTTTTTTGCTGGAAAGCAAATAACTGAGTGCATGTAGTCCCTCTCTAAGTGCGGAAGAAGTGAAATTTAGTCTTACTCTTAATCTTAACCTTAATATAAATCTTAATCCTAACTTTAACCGCCATCTTTAAATGTATTGTTGTCTTCGCGTTAGTCTTTATATTTACTGTTATCTTTATCATTGTCTTTGACTTTAGCTTTATCTCTATATCTATCTCTATCTTTGTCTATGACTTCTGTGTTTTTCTTTGCCTTTGTCGTCGTCTTTGACTGCGTCTTTGCCTTTGTCTTTTTTTTTCATTGTCATTGTCTTTCCCCACCACCAGTGGCGTTCATCGCAGTCCTTCGTTTTCTGTCCGCGGGTTCGCTATAGACCACGATTGAGAGAATACAAAGGTTGCGCCGATCTCGGACCGCTATTCCTTTCTTAAGGAATTTGACAGAATCGTTGTTTGCATGACGTCACACTTGTGCAACTTGTTTACGTTTTCTTTGCAACATTTTTTCTTCTTCTTCCATTCTTGCTCACGTTTTGGCATTTCTCTCTCGAAATTGCACCAGTGTGACGTCACACAAATGATATTCTCAAAACTCCTCTCTGATCGGCGCAATCTTGTATTCTATCATTCTTGCTCTCTTTCGGTACGTGCTCCCGCTTCGGATATACCACGGGACTCCAATGATGGATTTCGATGTTGCTACTGGTCGCGTTGCCCCATAACTCACATCGGTTTTAGAACATTGCTGTATATAATCACTTTATACTTCAGACTCTGGGGTAAACGAGAGTTAATAGGACAATGTAGAGAACTGGCATTCAACTTAATATGAGTCCCTTTAGCCTCTATGTGGTGTCGCCAAGTAAGTCGCCTATCCAGGCGAACTCCTACGTAAGTAATCTTGTTTGTGGTATTTGTACGTTGTTCAAAGTGAATGGCGACAGTTGTTGTTATTCAGGGTAAATGTAAGTTGCTTAAATTTTTGCTCGTTAAAGCCCGAAATCGAAAATATATAATGAACAAGCTGGGTCCTCCAAATTTAGCTAAAAACGTGTGTAGGGAAATGGTGCCTTTCGGGTTATGTACGGGGCTACAACAGGACCAGAACATCAGACTAGACTCTTCCGAATCCAGTTAAAAGTTCTAGCCACTCTGGGTAAGTAGAGACACAATGCCACGTACCGTCTATAGCCAAGAATGATAGAATACAAGATTGCGCCGATCAAGAGGATTTTTGAGAATATCTTTTTGTGTGACGTCACACTGGTGCAATTGCGAGAGAGAAATGCCAAAACGTGAGCAAGAATGGAAGAAGAAGAAAAAATGTTGCAAAGAAAACGTAAACAAGTTGCACAAGTATGACGTCATGCAAACAATGATTCTGTCAAATTCGTTAAGAGAGGAATAGCGGTCCGAGATCGGCGCAACCTTTGTATTCTCTCAATCGTGGAAAGAGAGCAACGTAAGACGAAATATGAATCGGAAAGGTTTTGAGAATTGGGGAATTGAGGTGGGGTAATTTCATCAAATTTATGGCTTACCACTACTAACTCATCAAAACTCGAACCAAACTAGAGGATGGGAGGGTAGGTAGCAGCGCCGTTATGGTGATAATTCATTAGATTCTGGAAAATTTAGATTTCATCTTTTCTTATTCCTTCTGTGGGCTTCAAATACAAAGTGCAAGCATGCCTGAACATCTTTGGCTTTTGGGTCTATCAATAATCCAAACCAATGTTTCCCAAGTCTGGTGGGAATGCCTTATGGAGCTGGAAAAATCATCAAAAACTAGATAGATTGCGGGGTGTGACGATACGAGGAGGGCAATGAGTGCTTGTACTCGGCACAACTCTTTAAGACTGATTTAGTACTTACACAGTTGAGCAAACCGGTCATCACTGTCACATGTTGTCTTCCTGCCAAATAGCCGAACTCATGTGGCCCGTATACTTACAACCTCAAATGATTACATGACCTGTTAGCAATTTCAAGACCTAGCGTTAAGGTTCTTATTGGGCATTGTCCGGTTGGCTCCAACGTCAGAAGCTGGGCAGACCCAACAATAATGTTTGTAACTCGTTGTAAATTCTTTAAAATAGATTTAATAGGAGCCAATAGAGCACCTTCATTGCCGATGTCGAGCTTTAATGACTACTCGTAAGAGGAATGAAAAATATCCAACTAATCCGAGACTTATGCCATAATTCTCTGGTGGCTGGAAACAGTAAATTGCCTATTGGGATGCTTTGGCGATATCGCAGTTGTAAAGCAGACGAGTCTAATTGCGCCAAGTAACTGCTTAACTCGATATCCACTTACATTTGCTTCAGGCGGGTTTTGCTACACAGCATTTCGCATTTTATTTCTCACTTTTTGTTTTTTTTTTCTTTTGGTATATTTATTTATTAGATTCGCTACCGCAAATGCCCGTTTGTTTTTCTTTACAGCAGGTATTAACATTCAACAATATACATAGTACGTATTTAAATATCTGCACACATTCATATATAATTGCAATAATTCATATGCTAGACTATACTTGTCTTGACGTTCAAGATCGTGTCTAGAAGTGGAACGTTCAAAGTTGCCGTCAAAGTGAAAGTGTTGTATTACCAAATGCTCTTCACGACGAGTAGGAATTTCTCTTGATCAGCGCGTTTTTTGCGCGATCCAGTAGCAATGAGGAACAAACTCAACGTATGGGTATACAAACATACATATGTACATAGTACATATGTATGTATGAGTCCATGTGTGGCTGTCTGCATGCGCATTGCTTCTATTTAGCACTTGGTGATGTGAGATTTCAGCACATACTCGCACTCGTATTGTGTTGGAAAAAAAGTGGTTTTAATTAAGGCGTCCAAGTATGTCAAGTACCAAAGTGGTGGCAATTGTTTATTTCCTCTTGTGGCAATAAGAGAAGCCTTTCACTTGTTGAGCTGTCTGCTTTAGTTTTCTGCAAATTCTACTTACTTATACAAATCCTTTGTGGTGATATGGAATTCTAGTTGAATGAGTTTCAAAGATGGCAAGTTTAAAAATAATTTGTGTTTAGAAAGTATTTGGCATTGGCGCATTAGATAAATGAATTCGTCATCGCCAAATTACTCTGTGCCTACATAGACAGGGGGCAAGCCTTGTTACATATGTATATAAGTTACCGCTCAAACCCGATACACACTAATTTTGCCTAGTCTAAACTAGTTGTGCCTACATGCGATAGGATACACCAGTCAAGCCTGGGTCAAACTTGTCTGGCCTAAGACCGATATGAATGGTGAATATTTAAACTTCAAAAAATATCTGTCCAGCTCTGGCTACGCAGTCCATAGTATTTTTGCGTCCAATTGCTTCCGCGTTCAGCCTAGACTTAACTGGTTTATCCTATCGGGCTTAGGCCAGACCAGTTTGACCCATGCTTTATCGGTTTATCGTATATAATGTACGTAGAACTAGCTTAGCTTAGGCAAAATACTTTGTTCGAAAACCGGGTTTGGCCGCTAACATATATATGTAAAGACGTAGGCTGCAATATGCCCTTTGTGATGCTGTAATAGGTGCTCCGTGTATTCTTCCTTTCCCTAGAATTAAACCAATTTGCGTTCTGATGAAGGAAAAAAATCATCGATTCTAGCCGTACTGAGTTCAAGCCGTATAGACGCTCACGAAAGTAGTGATGAAACGAACATCGACGGGACCTCGCCAATACGGCGCACCGACAGTGATAATGCTCTACACTCCTGATTTTCTCTACATTGCGGTAACTATGACAGTGACCCATCATAACCCCGAAGATAATAATAGGATATGCGCACTGAGAATGGTATTGACTGCAGACAAAGAGGTTCTCTTACCCGCTGGTTCAACTGTCATACAGTTCATTACTGGCTCTGGTCTGACGCTTATATTACATAAATGTGAGGTGTGCCTTTCTGCCAGTTCATTTAAGGTATGTCTACATTGGATTACTTTTCTTGATATTGATTTATCACATTCAAGTGCTTTAGTAGCCACCTGACTATCAGATAGCTGCTACCTAAGATCGTTACCTCATAACTATAGCTTCGTTGATTATTGATAATTTTGTTTGAAAACCGCTGCAGAAAACCGATATCCTAAAACTGGGGTTAAGTTAGAGCTCGTGCTAGTATACCCCATTTCCCAAACCTCCTGTCGCACGACTTTATCTCGAATTTAATCCTACTGAAATACAACGACCTTGTAGGTCCAAAGGGCGACTTATCCAGGGAGCTTAATTCCGTAAAACAATTTGGGACGTACCTCTAGTGAATAATATCGTGATAATCCTATCCTATATAATATATAATATCCTAGGGCACTCCGCTACATTGCGCCGCTATGTTAGCTTTCTTTCCAGAATGACGCCCAAATATCTGACTTTCTCCGAGAGAGTCAGCGTGACATTATTCTACGAACGAAGCTACAGATCATCGGCCATTTTGGTTTTTTGTGTAACACCAGGCTATTCCCCGTGAAGTTTCATAGGAGTAGGGAAAGAACTTCACCCTGCGGGTCCTCATTTTCGTGTTTGGTTGTCGACACCTCTCACATTTCCAAATATATATGCATTTAGTTTCACTAGCTAAGAGGTAACGACCAAATTCTATCTATTCTATTCTATTAGAGCGTTAACGACCAGCGCTTTAGTTTTCGAAGAACACGCCCCATGCGAATTCTTTAAAGACGGATGGTGCCTGTTCAATGGTAGTTGCATATTAGTGTACAGCTGTGTCGCCAGCAGTGTGACCAGATGATCGCCAGACCGAAGCTAAATTGATTTTGAAAAAGAAAATACTATAGGCATAACTAAAACACTTGCCACCAATTCGAAAAGTTCAGTGAAAGTGTTCTTCTTTAC